ATTAGGCCAGAAATATAAATTGCAACCCTCATACTACTAGTTTTTTTTTTATCTTCTACTGAAATATTTTAAAAACGTGCAAGGTAGTTGAAGGTTTGTTAATTGGTGGGATTTCTCCATAATTAAGCCGTATTGTAACAACTACAGAAATTCCTTTTCCTCTTAAAGAGTAAACAATTTTTTAGTATGTTCTTTCCTGCAAAGGAAAGTAGCGGCATGTTCACCAAGCTACTTCGGCCGTTGCCCTTCCTAGATATATCAAACTGCTAATAAAATGTTTGGTCTTAAGTTCCAGAGACTGCAGAAATTTAATCTAAATTTCCTAGTCTTTTTTCCCCATGAAATAAATACATTTTTAGCGTCAGGTAATTTATGATAGCAAGAGCTGCTTATTGAATCTTTAAAGTTTTCCCTCGTATAAAAAAGAAATTAGAATTTGTCACAAATTTACTGTTTCTCGGATTGTTGGATAAGTTAGCCATTTTCAAGCCGTTTGCGAGCTCATGTCTCGAAACGATCTGAATAGAAACAATTACGTTGAGTTGAAGAGCAGCAGCAAGCAGGGGGCGGCGGATTCTTTGTGAGAAAAAAAATCCTACACTGTCGATCTAGCCAGACTCGTGCTCGAATGAAATAAAGATAAGCAATGGAGGACAATAATTAGACTAAATACAAGTAATACACTCAAATCTTTGTCGAGGTCATTATGACCACAAATGGTCGTTCTATGTAAATCTTCATTAGGATGCGCTCATTATATATTCAAATCTATAAAATTTTACTTAAATGCTTTTGAAAGTCCTTAAATGCTAATCCTTAAAAGCTTTCGAAAAGGAAAAGTCTCGACTGTCAAGTAAGCTGATATAATTTTTTAAAGACTAAGCGAATCTCAAAGTTTATTTGCGGACAAAATGACTACTCCGCCCGTTTTTGCTGTAAGATACTTAATGCTGCTGATAAAGTCTTTTTAATTATGCGTTGAAAATTTGTTAAACATAGACCTTTCGAGTTTCAATACCAATTTTTAAATTTCTTTTAAATTAAATATTTTCTTTTGTCTCACATTTTTTTATTGAAGAAAGTATTAATTTTATTCTAAAAAGTAAACTGCTTAAGTCCTAAATCTTAGCGTCAAAATTATTCAGAATATTTTGTAAATAATGATTTCTACTTAATTAGAAATGGAAGATTGGCAAATTACTGATAAATAATTATTCATCCATTACTCTCTTCTAATGATAATTCCAAGTAAAAATTTCTTTTTGTTTTATATTCCTTAAACCCCTTTGCAATAATTTAAGTATAAATTATGTACTTTCCTGTAAATGAAAGTATATAACTTGAGATCCATACAGTAAATATACCTTGTAATGAAGGAAGGATTTAAGTATCAAATGAAAGGATTTAAAGATCTCTATTTGTATCCATTAGATTTGATCCAAACTGTTTGAAGAATTCTCCACTTGATAATTCAGTACAACGCCTATAATGGGTTTTAAGTTACCTTTTCGATGAATTTGCTAGTTTTCAGAACATAATTGGATTTTCTCTTATTTAAAAATATTTCCGAGAGGTAAGCTACTTAGAAGCAAAATTGCTTATTTAATCAAGCGGAGTGATATTGAGAAATAAAAAGAAAGCTTGTAAGGTAAATTTATCAACCTTCTAACTATTTAGAAAATGAAGGTATTTACTTAAATTTTATTCCGTTTTAGTATAGTTTATAAAATTCTGCATAAAAGCAATTAAAATCTTTGTTGACAAAATATAGCTGCTCGAAACAAGGTACAGAAACAGAGGATAGTTTGCTTCAAGTATGTTTCGCTGAATATTTATAAAAAGACTTCTATAAATATTCAACAAGAAAATATTAAAATGTATTTCATTTTAAGTTTGTTTAATGAACAGATAAGGATAAAAGAGCAACAGTTATAGGTAACAAAAAAAAGTGCTGTCGAACAGAAAAGTACTTGCAGACAAATATAAAAATATTAAGAATCAAAAATAACTTATAAAGCTTTGTTAGTTTAAGAAAACAGCTGATGGTATTTGTAAACGTTCGAGAATAGCAGAAGATTCGATTTTACCTAATGATTATGTATTATAATGTCTGTAAATAAAGAACAAGATGTCTAAGATGACGTCACCCCACTTACTTATCCACTGGAAATTGATCAATGATCAATCTGTTACAGATGTAACTAATAGAAATACGTTTCTATTGGGATAGAAATAAGAACTTTCCAATAGGATTAGAACTAACGGAAATTGATTAAATGATAGTGGAAAAATGATCGAGTTCAATGCTTTATTTTCAACATATCTTTTCTGTTTTTTTTTTTTTTATTATTATTTTTTTATTTTTTAAAATTTTTTTTAAAGTGCCTGCTGGATTTTTTGAGTTTCTTGTTTTCATCCGCAATTTGACAAAACCTTTTTTTTATTTTGATGGAGGAACATATAATTTTTAACTGCAATGATTAAGGTGGTATCCTTATAAAATTATTTGAAAATACACTTCTGAGGACACTACTTTCTTCAGAAATATTTAGTATTCTGAAGACCTTACTGATACTTTAAAAGTTTAAAGTCTTTCAAATTGTCCTAGTCCTGTCGGTTGGTCGGGGTGCCTGAGGCCGGAATGGCCCTTTACCCCTTCATCATGAGATGCGGATCCTTGAGTTGTTTCCTTGAGGTCCTTGTCATCTAACATTGAAAGTAAAGAATTAATAATGAGTAGATTGCTCGAGTAGAATCATATAAAATTATACAAGTTGCATTACATAGAGAACAATACATGAAATATAAAAAATAAATAAATACATAAAATAAAATAAATAAATAAAAAATGAACTTCTACGAGGGTTGCTATTTATATTTCTGGCCTTGGCAACAGTAAGTATTGCTGGGCGACCGCAGATGATTTTAATTGAAAGTTTGATATTTTTAAACATAAATTCAGCAGACGATTTACCATTATAGCTTCATTTGTGTTGTTGACAGTAAATTGAAAAGTTCTTCTCTTTCAAAAAATGGAATTGAATCGTGAACATTTTNGAAATGTATGAGATTCCCTTCTTTACAAAAGAAATTTCACGAAAACAGTTTTTTTACTTAGCACCTAAATTATATAATAAATTACCATTTCAGTTGCAAAACATCAAAATATATTCTTCTTTTAAGCGTGCTTTATTTCAATTTGTGATGAACATTGACGATTTAGATCTCTATTTTTCACTTTAAAGGAAGCATTTGATTTTTTATACCAGTCTTGTGCCAATCCAAATGAATTTCTTATGTTACCTTTGTTATTTTTTTTTTTTTATTTATTTATTTATTCATTTTTTTATATATATAGTTTCATGCATTTTTTTTTCTATTATTACAGTGTTCAACAATATATGACGTCTTATGATGAGCAAAATAATTTATGATTGTAATACCCCCTTTTTTTTTCTTTCTTTCTTTTCTTTTTTTTTAAATTTCTATTTTAAATTTATTGTATTACTTTTCTTTGTCGCCTGGACAGGATTTTCCTCTTGACGACGAATATATATTCTTTGTATTTATGTGTTTTTGTTCTCAATAAAGTTATATATTTGTTTGTTAAAAAAATACAAAAAATTGGTTCAAACGCATACAAAAGTGCATTGATCATCATGGAGAATATTTTGAAAAACAATGAAACCAATTTCGATCCTACATGTTTGTTTTTTCATTATTAGGCCAGAAATATAAATAGCAACCCTCGTAATAAGAAGTTTGTCAAAAATTGTACTCCACAGGTACAACTTTTCTACCTCTCATCTTACTCTTTTCATTCTCTCATATCTTACAACTTTCATTCATTTTACATCATAGTGCTCCTTTTCAAAGCCCAGTCCATTTTTAAAAACAAATCAAATTGATTTTGTTTTAAAATTGTAAAGATACTTTACTTTACTTTAGATTTTTAAAGTGGTACGTTTTACTTTTCTTTTAATATTTTTAATTGATCCTGATCTCCTTGCCACAACTGTGCGTAGATCTCGACATTTGGCTGTTGTGGAAGACTTTTTCAGTAAATCTGAGGTATTTTTTTTAAAATTACCCCCGATGAAAATATAAAGGAATTTGTCTTATTATAAACCTACATTTTTCAACTCATTTTGCTGTTAAAATGTTAAAATTCTGAAGATTTTTCGCAAAACTGTTTTTTTACAAAATCAGTATTTAGATAATTAAAAATCTGCAGAAAATTAAAAGGTTTACAGTTTAGTTCAAATAGCTTCAGATTTTTTTAGATTAATTTTTAAAGAAAATTTTCGGATTATTTTTAGTTTGTCTGTTTAATCATTCGTTAAGCCTGGGAATTTGGAAAGGCAATAGCATAACAAAGTGAGTCGACTTCGACGAAAAGAAATATAAAAGATGGATGTGAATCCGTAAATATTTCATTGTGAGCTTTTTTCTGAGAGAAATAAAGATAATTTGACGCTCAAGATAATTTTTCACAGCTCATTTAAAAACGAATCAAAATAAATATGGGTTATGACAAGTGGAATTTCAATTTCTGTGGAAACTGTAATAAAACTATTTCTCTTGCTTTTCTTTGAAAAGTTTTCTTAAATGTTATTATTGTTTCTCTACCAGAAAATGGAATCATTAATATGGTACTAAAAATATTTCAAGCGATAGGACAACATTTTTTATACTATTTAATTCATTTCTTATTATTACTTTGTGATTTAAAATTTTTTTGAAGAATAATTGATAACAAACAATATATACATTTATTCGAACAATGACACTCCTATAACAAATAAAAGAAGCATGTTATATTTTTGTATCTCAGTAATAAAACGTGATGACTTTGGTCGCACGAGAATCATAAAACTCAAAAACACAGCCAAACATCTGAAGTCTCTTTGCTTCGATTTTACTCATGACGTCGCTAGAACGTCATCAAATGAGGCGTGGTCTGTGGACTCATCCTAAAGATCAAGCTCTTGTTTGCAGCAGTTAGTGGCACATTTTCCACGTGTCTGGAGACTTGGTGTAATAAGTTTGGCAACAATTGGCTTTAAGCCATTCACCGTTTTTATGTTTGATGGCACTTATTTGGCTCATTTTGAATGAAAATGGATTATAATTTTATTGTTAGTTTTTACTTATGCAATGAAAAAAATTTTTTTTAAAATTTTGTTAAGGCGTAATATTCTAAAATTCTGCGCGTTTAAATTGCTAAAATAAAATCAATTTATTATTCAATGAATCCGGAGTTCAAAAATTTTGTTTGCATTACATTTATTTTATTTTGTTAGGGAACTGACGAAGAATTTGCGGAAGTTGTAAGCTCGTCTGGAATTTTAATATAACATTTAAATGAAGACGTACTCAAGAAAACAAACTTTTAAAATGTTTAGTAATATCTTCTTAAAATACATATAAAGCATTCTGAACTGTAAAGATATGATAGAAATTTTATTTAAAAATACTTAAACTGATGCTTAGTGATTATATTCATGTGCGTGCTAAAAATAATGTGGATACGTATGTATTAAAAATGAACATTAATTCTATTCAAATAGAAATAGGAATGCATGCATGACTATGAATTATTAAGCTCAAAAACTAACAACGGTTTTCAAATAATTGACCGTGTGCCACTCATAAAAAAAAAAAAAAAAAAAAAAAAAAAAAAAAAACATCACGCTGAACTTTAATTCTGTTGCTAAAATTTTCATAGAAAAACACACATTCTGCATTAAGTTTATTTGAATAATATGCGGGTGGAAAAATGATGTTAATAAATATAATTACCTGCAACATACGAGTTGTAGTTGCATTATTAGCTATTTAGTGCTGTATCTAAAGATTGTGATCATATATATGAACTGATGACTTTATTGAAGATGAAAGAAAAAAAATTAGATTACGGTGCGAAACTATATTAAAAAGTGTGAAAAATGTTGACAGATGGATTAGCGTGTTAAGAAATCATATCATCTACACAAAGAGAACATGACGTGTGGTCGTGTTAGCCGGCTGTCTAGGCAACGGTCTTTGATGACCTTTGTAGCTCTAGCATCATTTATGGCTCAAGGTTTGTAAGTTTTATTTTCTCTCGTTATTTTTAGAACGTGCAGACTATCGTAATATTTGCTTACCTTTTATTGTTTTGCACGCGTTTGAGCGTTTATTTTTATCGTGTAAATTATGATCGAAAAGAACATATACTAAAACATCATTACATTTTCTTTTAATCAAACGTTTTTCTTAATTAAATTTGGAAGCGTATATTTCGTATTAATTTAATTTAATAGAATTAATGTATTATTCTTCTATGTTTTATACTACTAAATGGCTAGTTTCTTTTTGGTATATTAAAGAATTTTTAGAAAAAGTGCGTAAGGTTTTAACCAAAAAAATTGACGTCCAGTATTAAAAAAATTTTCCAGTAAAAAAAAAGTTATATGAAGTTAATAAAATAATAAGGTTCATATTTTATAGATTTTTAAATAGTAGAAACACATTCTTTTTTTTCTCAAAAAAAAAATATAAATTAATATTTTTTTATGGAAAAATAAATAATTGAAAAAAAAATGCGTACTAACAAAATAAAAAGCAAAAAGTATGTGATTTAAATGAAAATTATATGCTATATAGTTAAGATTTTTTTGTTTACTAGATTACAGTCTATTAACTAACATGAACGGTAATATTCAGAACCTAATAATTTTTATCGAAACTACTTTTTAGCACAGGTAATTATCATCATTCTACTTTGAAACTAGTTTATTAATCAATTTTAATAGCATATATCTTGTAATATCAGTTCTATTTTAAAATAATATTTCTATGTTAGTTAATTATAGTTCAATTTCAAAAAATGCATTGAATGTTCTTTGTTTATTATGTTTTTAAGTGTAATTGTTAGGTGTTATGCTCTTTAGTGTAACAAAATAGTTCAAATATTTATTATTATTCTAGTAAATATTTTGAAATGCAATAGTTATAGAAATATTTCCATTTCGTTTACAATAATAATTTTATTTTTTAGGATATATTTCGTCGCAAAAATACAATAATTTAAAAAGCGAAAATATAATTTTTTTGTTGAGGGGGGGGACTTTTAATTTTTATTTAAGGAATTATGATATGACATATTCTACTGCTATCAAAATGTTTTTAAAATATAGTAAATGGTGCAAGAGCGTTTTTATATTATTATAATACAAAGATTATGATTTTTTTTACTTATATTTAAGGAATTATTTTGACCCTTATTTTTAATAAAAATTTAATTTTCTATTTGCATGATTTTACGAAAAGGGAAAAAAATATTGAAACTAAAAAACATATATCTTTTTAATTCTTCATGAATTTGTATACAATAACATTATTAAAAAATAGAAAAAAGACTTAGCTAATAAATTAAAGCTTATTATTTTCATTTTCGTCAGAAGCATACGTCTCATGCTTAGGAAGTTAGTTTGATAAATATTGCTTATTAAAATAACATTTCAAATGAAATATATCAACAAAACTTTAAAAAACCGACTCGTGTTTTATTACACTGAAATTTTAAGTTTTGGTGGTTACGACTTTTTTTTAATCACGCATTAAGAAGTAAATTCTGTTGGTATTTCACTTCATCAAACAACGATTTTTCTTCGCTTATGTAGGGATAGGACTTCGTTTTTTTAATTTTATTTTTAAAATTGCCAATTAAAATGTTTACTAAAATTTCCTTCATTTGTAATATTTTATTTTTTGTAAAACGTAGCACCATTTATAAAATTGAATTGTCTTCAAATTGTCTCGTTATAATGATGTTCGCGAATATACGTAGTTTATAAAATAATATGAAACCATATGAAAACCAAAGAAATAATGATAGTTAAACCTATCAAATCATTTTTTTAATGTATTAAATTCATTATTTTACTGCAAATCATTTTTATTTGCATTCATTTCATCAATTAACTGCAAAAATTATTTTTCTTTAAAATATTGTTTTAATTTTATGAAGTAAAAGGTTAGTAAATACTACAATAATAAGTTTAAAATATGTCATATTATGTTTTTATAATGTATGGTTTAAAATATGGTTTCAATTTACAGAGTGGGTAAGTGGGGATTATTGCTACGCTTAGGTACACTGTAAAAAATGAAATTACGGTGTAAAGCATCGTCACTTTGGGTACATTATCCGTAAAATTTATTTTAACGTAAAATATTATAGCGTAATTTTTACAGTAATATTTATTTCATTCGAGTGATTCAGTGATTTTATAGTTATTATTACGGTATGGTTATTATTATGGTCATTATTACGCATTGCGGTATATAAATTTTTGTTTCGTAACATGTTTGGTAAAGATAGATTTTATGGTAGAAAGCACCGGCACTCAGAGTGCCAGGACTTTTTACAGTATTTTTTTGCAGTGTAGTAATGCATAAGATTCTATTTTTCAACTTTCGATCCTAACAAAGCAACACATTTTTAAGAAACAGCTGAAGAATTAGTAAATAAAAAAATATTTTTAACAAAAATGTGCATTTTTCAACTAAAAAAATTGCGAAACAAAAACTGATTTTGTTATTTTTTATTTCAAAAGTTAAGAAAAAAGCAACATTTTTCGAACGATAAACTGATAGAATGGAACTGAGGTTGCATTGTAATGNATTATGTTTTTAAATATATGGTATAAAATATGATTTCTTTTAGCTTATATGGTTTCAATTTATAGTGTGGGTGAGTGGGGATTATTGCTTCGTTTAGGTACACTGTAAAAAATTAAATTTCGGTGTAAAGTACCGTCACTTTGGGTACATCATCCATAACATAAAGCATCATCCATAACATTTAACATAAAATATTATCGCGTAATTTTTACAGTAATATTTATTTCATTCGAGTCGATATATCGATTTCATCGATATTTATTTCATTCAGTGATTTTACGGTTATTATTAGTGTACACGTTAGGGTATATCAATTTTTGTTTCGTAATATGTTAGGTAAAAATAGATTTTATGGTAGAAAGCACCGGCACTCAGAGTGCCGGGACTTTTAACAGTATTTTTTCGCAGTGTAGTAATGCATAAGATTATATTTTTCAACTTTCGATCCAAACAAAGCAACTCAATTTTAAGAAACAGCTGAAGAATAAGTAAATGAAAAAAATATTTTTAACAAAAATGTGCATTTTTCAACTGAAAAAATTGCGAAACAAAAACTGATTTTGTTATTTTTTATTTCAAAAGTTAAGAAAAAAGCAACATTTTTCGAACGATAAACTGATAGAATGGGACTGAGGTTGCTTTGTAATGTTTTATTTTCCCTTCGTGCGCAATCGATCCCATAGGGAAAAACCATTTTAACATTTACATGTTCTGCTGTAGGCTAAGATCACGGAAAGCGGAAATAAAAATTTCGCTTATTTTATTCCATTGACTTGCACTATTCAAGTTATTAGAAGCTTTTTAAACTTCTTTATTGCGAATAGATTTTTCACACATTAGTTAGTACCGTAATAAAATTGTATATATATAACGGGATTTTATTTATAATGAGGTTTTAATAAAAGTTTATTGTTTAGGCCAGCATAGTCATCATTTTAGTTGAAGCATTTTGAGAAAACTTGGTAAACGCATTGTATGGACCATCGGAAAAAAGCAATACGCAATAAAAGTTCATATTTTCACTAATAAATAGAGTTTTTTGGTAGAAGAAAGACATTTCGCTTATTTTATTCCATTGACTTGCACTATTCAAGTTACTAGAAGCTTTTTAAACTTCTTTATTGCAAATAGATTTTTCACACACTAATTAGTACCGTAATAATTTTTTTTCAGCAATTTATGACGATATAACCACATATAACGAGATTTTACCACGTTTATTTACATTGAGGTTTTAATAAAAGTATCTTGTTTAGGCCAGCGCAGTCATCCTTTTAGTTGAAATATTTTGAGGAAACTAGGTAAACACTTTATATGGACCATCGGAAAAAGTAATATGCCATAAAAGTTCTTATTTTTACTAATAAATAGAGTAGTTAGGTAGATGAAAGAAAGACAATGCGATTCTTATCGGTATAGTCACTACATTAAGATTATTCAGCACTATACCGTTAAATGGATAAACAAATTCTGGTAAAATTACCGTACTCCATGACAATGTTACTTCTGGTAAAAAATATAATTCTGGTTAATTAAACTCAACCGATTGAGATTGAAACTATACATTTAATAATTTTTACACTCAGATGGCAACGATTTGTCGAAAATTCTGGTTCTGATAATTCCTGTTCTTATTAGCATACAATTATTAAAAATACAGAAAGGAAAAGTAATGCTCTAAGAATGCTAAGTAATGTTCTAAGATATCATGGTAAATTTCCCAGAATGTACCACTTTTACCAGATTTTATCAAATTTTGTAAAATATTTTACTGTTAATTTTATCAAAATCACCAAAAAGCTGCTTCGGTAAAAATTAGCGAGATTTTTTTGACGTTCCCATAGAGCCCTAAACATGGTAAATGTTTCGATATGCTGGTAGTTTTGATCATGTTTTTTTCTCTCAGTACAAAAGAAATAACTGAAGAAAAAAAATTTTCTAAATGTGAAAGGAATGGAGAGTAAGAGATGTGCTGCAGGGAAGAGAAAGAAGCGGCTATCAAATGAAGCTGAATTAAAAGCAAGTGTAAGACTTCAAATTAATATAGGATAATGTAATAATTTTTCTTTTCATGTTAATGTTAAACTCGCTACAACGCAACCTTAACAAACATGAGTAGAATAAAATGCGTCGAAAATGCACATTGAACTTACGCTATAATTTAATAAAGTTTTGCGTCACCTATTAGAATATTTTTTCTTTGCGAGCGCCTTTCTCTCACCTGGTGGTCAAAATCTTATTTATCAGAGAGCAAATTTCTTTTTTCCATGCATATAATGCCGTATATTTCAGAAACATCCCTCAACTAAAACAGACTCTATTGATTTCAAGAAGGTAATTTTAATTATACCCATACTGTAGTTGCGGATATAACAATAAAAAAAAAGTTCCACATTTCCAATACTTTTTTAAAGA